AAAATTGTCTTGGCACCATCCAACTTTTATTTTTATTGTGTTTTTTACAACTACAAATAAAAATTCCATCCCCTGTTTCAGCGCTTTCCAGAAAGCAGGGGCTCTAGTTATAATGAATCCAAGATGAACATTACGCGTTCATCTCAGAATTTAGATACCACAAAAGCACTCTCCTTGCAGTATGTTCAGTGGAAACACTGTTCTTGTGGTATTTCCATTGGAAATATTGTACTTGTGGTAGTTTTTCAATGGAAAAACTATTACTGTGGCATTACTGAGGGCTACAGGAAATGCTGGCTGGAGTCTTGCAACGAATGGCCAAGGGAGAGAGGGGATGCTGAACGAGAGAGTTACAGTAAGGCATCAACAGATGGAAGCAAGGAGTTAGAAAAAAAGGGATGATATTGATGGTGATAATGGTACTTTATTTGAGAACCCCAAAGTAAGCCCCTGTTGCAACACATATTAGGAAATGGGGACATGCTTTTATAATTAGAGGAGATTTTGGGGAAAAAAAGATAAAATGGGGGTGAAAAAGACTTTCACATGGTAGTAGAATGAAACTGATAAAAACAAAAGTGAAATCGTAAGCTACTGGAGTGGGGGTAGGGGATGTGCTTAGCCTGTGTATCTGTTCACAGGCTCTAGAAATAAGTACTGAGGGGAAGAGACAAGTACAAGGTAGATGTTCAAAGAAAGAACGAAAGAAAAAAATAGAATATTCTGGAGGATTTTCCCAATCAAGTTTGGGTCTGACTGCTGTCCTGAAGGAAACCAGCTTAAAATAATCACCTGGTTCCAAAGACTCTTTGCAGTCTGGCTGGGGCCTCGTACTTTCCTGAATTACCCAGTGCTCCCTCAGCAGGATTCTTGGCTTCTGTTAGGCAGAAGAACTCTCACCAGCTCTCGCCTAATGCCAGGCTTCTCTTCACATTTATTCCCTGCATGACCGTCTCCCCTTCGGGGACACCCTTCAATGACCCCAGTTCCCTTCAGGCTTCAAGCCAAGGTCAACGTTCAGCAGCTCATCACAGGAAGCCTTTCTGACTCCATCAGGCTTCGTGGACAAACCGCTTTTTAAAAACTTTAACCTGGGGGCATTTCTCTACATTTCAGCATTTAATGGTGTTTTATGTTCTGTACTTCCCCGCAGTATTGAGGGCAGGCACCAGGCCTTTTATTTCTTTGTGCCCCATGGCGCCTAACAAGGCTCTGAAGGCTGAGTAGGTGCTTATTAACTGGTAGCTGCTTAAGAAGTGAAGCGAACGTGGTATCTCAGTCTCTCTGAATCCGCAGGGAGTGATTAGTTTAGCTACAATTGCACTGGGCACTGTGTTAGGTGAGCCCGCAGATTGCAGTTACTAACCCAGGAACAGCTTGTTTCTTAGCCCCGTCACATTTCTCATGGGCGTTTCTGGTGGAGGGGCTCTTCTCTGAAGCGGTGGCTCAGGGACCCAGGCTACCTTCAGCCTTGTGGGTCGTGGGTCTTCAGCAGAAGGCGAAAGGGGGCCGAAGTGTGCAAGTGTCCATAGACTTGTCCTGAAAGTGACATCTGTGACTCCCACCCGTATTTTATGGGTTGAAACTCCATCACCTGGTGTTACTGGCTGAATCACATCCATTCAAAAGCCGTATGTTGAAGTCTTAACCCCCAATAGCTCAGAAGGTGACTGTGTTTGGAGATATCGTCTTTAAAGGATAATTAAATTAAGATGAGGTCATTAGGGTGAGCTTTAATCTAGTATGCCTGGTGTCCTTATAAAAAGGGGAAATTTGGACGCAGACATACAGAGTGAAGACCATGTGGAGACCCAGGGAGAGGACGACCATCTATAAGCGAAAAAGATGGGCCTCCGAAGAAGCCACCCCTAGTAACTCTTGATCTCAAACCTCTGGCCTCCAGAACTGTGAGAAAAGTAAATCTCCATTGTTTAAACCAGCTGGGCTGCAGTACTTACCGCAGCCTGAGCAAACAACACGTCTCCACACCTTCTTACAAGGGATGGTGAGGGTGTAGTCTTCCTGTGCATGGAGGGAGAAAGAAAGGAAACAGGTTTTGCTGAACAGAGCGCAGTTCCTGCTATAGTACGAGAGCTGGATGTGATAGAGGACCATCTATCCAAGGCTTTTCTTTTTTAAAAAATCAGGATAAACCCACCGAGTGAACCGACTTGCTAAAGAATCCTTTGGATGTTTAGTGACATCTTCGCCAATGGCTTCATTTTCATCTAGTTAACTGGGTCTCAAAAATTTGCGGATCACTCTTTTTCACCAGTGTTCCACCACATTCCCTTACATTGAATAAATGCCACCCTAGATTGGCGTCTAATTCACTGGGCCAGTACAGAATAAAAACTTGGGTCCTTTCTTAACAAATTATGAAGAATTTCAGGAAGCTGATCACATCAAAGCAAGTGCAGAATCCTAACTGTGGGCCCCATGTGACTGACTGCACACAGGTCACCTGCCCGGGAAGCTGGCCCTGGTCCAGTCTCTACCCCAAGCAATACCACTGCTACAGGGATTTAAGGATTGAAGTTGGTATTGAAAGGTAGAAACTTGAAGAGCTAGACCACCCCCAGTCCCTGTTGAGTATAGTGATCGGGTCCTAAAACTAGCTTGTGAAAGTACATCTGCTTAAACTGAAGGAACAAAATGGCAGCAGACTCAGAGACTCCAAGAATGAACTAGTGGTTACCAAAGGGGAGGGGTGTGGGAGGGAGGGAGAAGGGGACTGAGGGGTATTATGTTTAGTACACATGGTGTGGGGGATCATGGGGAGAACAGTGTATCACAGAGAAGGGACATAGTGGATCTCTGGCATCTTGCTGCACTGATGGACAGTGACTGCATTGGGGTATGGGTGGGGACTTGATAATATGGGTAAATGTAGTAACCACATTGTTTTTTCATGTGAAACCTTCATAAGAGTGTATATTAATCATATCTTAGTAAAAAACTTTAAAAAAAAGGAAGTACATCTGCTTGAGGTTACCGAGCAGATTAAGTTGCTTGGTAATCTTAGGTTAGAATCACACGGGGTGGGTTTTGTTTTTATTTCTTTAGCCTGTGGAGATTCAGATGACATTTATTAGGGTTGGGGCACAGGTAAGGTAAGTTTCCAAGTGCCCCACCCTGTGATTCTGCTGCCTACCCAGGTTGGGATATCATAGGTTACGACCCTGGGCATCTTAAGGACCTATTTAATCTATTTAGCATCTCCAGTTTGTCATCTCTCACTTCCCTTATTCAGAGGAGGGTTTTATTTGCAGATGATATTTCTTTAGATGAGAATGTTAATAAAGGCCAGGCCAAAAAAGAAAGGCCTAGAGTGCACACAATTAGTTTTCTACTACCTGCCTCAGCTGTCCTTAACTTCTTTCAGAGGTTATCTCTGGTGACTATCAAGGAATCAGTTTCTTGTTGTTCTATTTATACTTTGCACCATCAAAACTATTCTCAGGAAAGGGCTTTATTTTTATACTAAAACATGAAAGACAGATACCAATTAACATTTCAACCCTTTCCAAGATCTTTCCAAGAGATAAGAGGATTTAAGCCAAAATAATGAATCTCTAATTGCAAAATTTCAGGCATTGATAAAATTTTAATAGACCAGAGGTGTCTGTTATGGGGCTTTTCAATTGTTCACTTGTTGATTCATTTATGCTTTCAAGATATATTTAATCAAAATCATTTAATTATCAAGTTATCCCTGCATTTAAGAAAATATTATCTTAAAGGTAAACATACAAAAGAAAATATGGAAAGTACAATTATGTACATATGCATGTATGTATATAAATGAGAGAAAGAGAGAGAGTGCTAGAAAGATCCAGGATAAGGAACAACTAATTCTGTCAGAATCTGACAAAAAAAAGGTGAAAAAAGTAGGTATTGTTTGACCTGAATCCTAAGGCAGCATGGTATAAATTAAAGAGTGTAACCTTTGGTATAGATATGAACGTCTGCCGTCTGTTAAGCAAAATAAATCTGGGGGAATTTCTTAGTTTGGTAGTTAAGGGCACAGACTCTGGAGTCAGACTGCTCCAAGTTTGAATCCCATCTTCCCCACTAACTGTACAACTTTGGACAATGTATATAATATCTCTGTTCCTTATCTCTTCGATTATAAAACGAGGATAAAAATAAATAAACCATGTCACATAGGTTTTGTGAGAAGATTAATGAGCCAGCACCTACCAAGCACTGAGAATAGTGCTTATTGTATTGCTACTTAACCTTGTCAGGTCTTTGCTTATTCTCTGTGAAATGGGGGAGAATAGGCCAAGTCTTCAGGACTGATTTGAGGATCGATCTGAAGTCGGCATATAAAACATCTCACCAGGGCCAAATGGTTTCCACAGGACTCTAGCTGTGATGTGGGATCAAAAAACTTTGTTTGTTCATTGATTCACTTAGACATTAATGCAGATTACCTCTATGTACATTGCCTTTTCCTTTTATGTAGATTTCCTTTATATAATGTAATTTTATTTTCTGCAGTTTAGGATGTGTGAGTGAGCACAGATCACACATTTAGTGTTTACAAATCCTACAATAAGTTATTTTGTTTTTCCTTTATCTGAATCTCTATGATCATACCAAACAATTCAAATGAGGGTGTGTAAAACAGTATGCTCTGAATAAAAATATATAAATAGCTCCTCTTTAATTAATAATCTTTGCAATTTTCAGCAAAATGATACAACCCTGAAAAAATGTTACTGCTCCAAATGCACAGGTGCAAAAAATTCTACAGTTCCCTTTACAGTGCCTTTATCAGAATTATTTTTAGTATTATTAGTTATGTCCCACTTCACTTCAAATGTATTTTTAGATGGCTTACAGAGATACATGCAACAAAACAAAAGTAAAAATAGAATAAAATAAAGAGCAGGTGAAGGGAAAGCAAAAGTGGTAAAATGAGAAAAAAGATCAGATGTTCCATAGATACATCAAATTCATGCTGTAGCCTTTGCACCCTCCTTGTCAACAAAATGCTCCAGTTCCTGCTCGGATTTACTTTTGGCGAACTGGTTGGCATGTATCTGGCTCTGAACTGTGCCACACCCAACCTGGCTAAAAAGCTTAAAGAAATTAAAAAGGACTTAGATGCCAAGAAGAAACCCCCCAGTTCATGAGGCTGACTCTAGCACACCTTCTGGATATACTGATTCTACTATTCTTGAGGGCCTCCTTTACCATCTGAACCAAAAGCTTTTATTTTAAAGTGGTCCCTAGGTGGGACCACAAATTCAGAATTACCCTTGTATTTCCAACATCCTCACCTCTTCCCTTCCTCCTTCCTGCTGTTTGGAGGTCCTAAGACTGGTATGATGGTGCTAGATGGTAGACATGACTGTAATTACTAGTCTCTGCCTTATTCTTTGGGATTTCATTACCTGTTTTCAGAAGACAAATTTATGAGTTTTATATAGCCAATCAGAATTAATAATGCTGATTTCAAAGGTTAGCAATAGTAATGGATGTTTAAATATTTGATACCTTGTTTCAAAGTAGTTAAAATTAGAATCTAGAAGCTAGTTTCGGCTGAATTATCCATTTATTTCCTACTGTTGTCAGGAAGCTCTATAATTGCTAGTTTAATCAATAAATCAATTTGCTATTCATTAACTGAGAAACTGTATTTTGAGATCCCTGTCAGGAACTGGAGAATTTTAAAAATATATAAAATAATGGCTTTTGTCCTCAGTAGACTTCATCGTCTAGTATGCATGTTTTTCCTTAGTACTGTATTTGATCTGGCTCTTTTTGTTCAAAGGAATCATACTTATTTTAAGGGATTACAGGTGTATTTGACATTACATGATGGAAAATGACAAGTTGTCTATACAGGGAGTTTTATGCCTTTTCACATTAAAAATGTATTTAGAGTAAAAAATTCATACTCTAGGTCACACTATAATATAGCTAGAAGTGGACCACAAAAATTGGTTCTGAGCATCCTGGTAGGTATAGCAAAAAGGGGAAATTGATCAGGTATGATATTCACTAAAAACAAGCATGTCAAAAAACACTTTAAACCAATCTTTTAACTGTCTTACTATTCTCTAAACTTAAAGGCATCTAAACCTCTTATCTGCATTCATCTTTTTAATTTAAGTTTAATTTTGTATCTATTACTAAACCATAGATCCATGAAGACAGAGGCCTTTGTTTATTAATTTTTGTATAACACTGAGCCTCACACCTGATAGGACTTTCATAAAATGTTTGCACAATGAAGTAATGAATGAAACTTTAAGACATATGTCAAAAGAAAGAAGTCAGAGTGAAGTTCCCACTTGCAAAGCAAATGGGCTGGGAAGGCAGGTGAACTGATCAACTGTGGGAAGAGATGAAAGTCTTAAGTGGATTTCTCTGTGTGTATAGAAATAATTACTATGGTGACTTATCATTGTATATGAAGGGATAAGATGTGATGTTGAAGATAATGGTTTTCCAGAAAGGGAGAATTATTGAACCCAAATACTTCATTCCAAAGATCAATCAACATCTAAATCTCAATAGGATAATAATCTGACTTCATTAGATAAATGGTCTTCATTTGCTTCAAAACCAAGGGCTATATTTATTTCAGGTTGTAAGTTCCCCACTAACTTGTGTCTTTAAACACGTCCTCAACAATTTATTGAATGCTCTAGCATTTATTGTTGTTATCTGAAGTTTAGAAATACCTAGTCAAATGACTGCATTTGTAATATTGTAGACAGTATTCTTTTGGTCTTTAATTTCAGAGCTTTATATAATGGTTATCTGAGTTGGAGTTCCTTTGGGCATTTCACCCAATCTCCTTTTCATGCATGTATGCATTCAGCAAGCACTTACTTTGTGCTTACAGTGTATTGGGCACTGTGGGCAACAAAGACATGATACCATCAGTCAGGGAGCTTAGAGTCAGGGGAGAGAAATAATGACAGCCCACTGGGAAATCCTTGATTATAGGTGCTGTGGAGTGGTGCCGAGTCCACCACGGTCCACTAGAGGTGCTGTAAGAGGTAACTTTTCGGCTTGATTTTGGGAAACAAGACAGATGAGGGGGTCACTGGACCTGGTCTTAAAGTATGTAAGATTTGGATTCCTAATAAAGGAACAGAAATATGGAGGTAAGGAAATGCAAAATTGGGGGAATGGAATTTGGGCTGAAGGATCTTAACTCAGAAGGAGCTTGGACCATCCTACACAGCTGTCTGAAGAAAGAGGAGAAGGAAGACACAAGGACATTAAAACCTTGCTGGAGGGGAATAGCAAAATCCCCGTATTATGTGAAGTGAATTAGTTAGCGGGGTATAGAGGAAGCTATGTGCTACATTTCATGCTCTTTAAACACATGCTGCAGATCAATGTCAACCAGAGGTTGAAGCACATTTTCCAGAATAGGCAAAACCATAGAGGCAAGAAGTGGATTTAGTGTTTGTCAGAAGCTGGGGTGAGGGGCATGTAGGGAGTGGGGGTGACTGCTAATGCGCGTGGAGTCTCCTTTGGTGGTGGTGAACACCTCTGGGTTTAGGTAGTGATAATGGTTGCACAACTTTGTGAATATACTGAAAACCACTGAATTGTACATTTTGAAACACTGAATTTTATGGTGTGTGAATTAACATCACATTTTTTAAAAATAAGTTTTAAAAAGTCATACATCTGCCACTATTTTTAAATAGTGCTCACTTAACTTTTTTCATGTGTATTATTTGTTCCTTAGTCCTCTTGTGTTTGCGCTGTATTCTTATTTGGCTACCTCAGATCCTGTTCTTCATGTCCTCTTCAGAGTGGCAATTCTGTCTTTTTCATCACAGCTCTGACAGTGGCCTTGCTCCAGCGCAGCCCTTCAGATCTCATTGACCCCACTGTGGAAGACAAGGCCCCGTCCCAGCAGGAAGTCACTGCCACCTGATGGTTTTCTTTACCTGACTTTACACCTTGACAGAGCAGGGGAATTGTGCAGAGAGATTTGACTGGAGTTCAGGAAACCAACTGGGCATTGAAAATGAGTTTTAAATGTCTAAGGTTTAACCTTGGATTGGTGGGAGTAAGAATGGAAAAGAAAGGAGGGAAAGGAGAGATGATCATGTACAAGAATGGACAGGAAGTGATTCCAGATTTCATCCGGGATAAAGTCAGAGCAGCAAAAGCTAAATTATATTTTAAGTGGCACAACTTCTTGAATTTATTTCCTTGGAGTTTCTACTGGAAAGGTATATATTATAATACAACACATTGTATAGTGCCTGGCATATAGTAAACATTTGATAAATTATAATGAGTTTTGCTAGGATTTTTTATTTTGTTTTTTCTTCTTCCTAGAAGACTCTTGCTTCCAAGCCAGTTCATTAATCATTATCATCAATAAGACATAGGAATTAATATCCCCATTGTATAAATAAGACTGCTGAAAGATGAGCAATATTAAATGACTTGCCCAAGACCATGCAGTTAGGAAGTAACTTGACCTACAGTCCTTGGCCTGCACCTCAGACTGTGATTTTGTACAAAGAGCAAATCCTGTTAGTTCTAGATAGAAGTTGGGCAATGGAACAGGGTGATAGAATCGAGGGAAGCAAAACAGAGATGAGATTTAGAAGCAGAAGTGGATATGATGAGAGGGCCAGGAAGAGCAAGGTCAGTTGAGGAAATCTCTGTAAAAATAAGATGGATCACAACAAGAGCTTTGGGGATTTGAATTGGCAGGACAGAGCCTGCTAACCAGCTCAGCAAGAAGGGCAGGGCGTCTTCTCCACATGCCAATGCCTTGGATCTTGGATGGGGAAAGCTGAGCAGCTCTGGGAACCTAAGCAACCCGGAAGAATGGGGCCAAGTAGGGCAAATCTCACAGTAACAGTATTTCTAGAACTATGCTTTTTACCTGTTGCCATTGTGAATTTTCTGGCCGCTTCATCATGAGGTATGAAGAAAGAAAGGTTATTTGGAATCAAGGTCCTCTGTAGGGTGAGGACTCTAGATAATGAGCAGTTGACTTTCACCAAAGAATAGCCTGCAGGTAATGCTGGGTTATCATAATTCCATTGCTCCCTAGAGAACCAATAACTATTTTGTCTTAAAACCAGTCTCCCCTTTGATAAATCCCAATGTCACATAATTCTCTGATAATCATCATTTATTTTGTAACATTACAGGCTATTGTTTTACATATTTATGCTGTCCCCCCAATGAGACGATAAACTCTTGCCAAGACTGGTGTAGATATTCTTATTTTCTGATTGGCCTATGGACACTGCTTACTATGTTACATTCATTGATCAAGCACTTGATTGATAAACAGAACACTTGAATCAAACACAGAAATGACTCCCCAGAACAGGAGCCTTATATGGCCAAGGATGGGTTCCCTGGGAGGTGGATACTGAGATGGAAATTACAGATTCAGATGTTTATTATGGTGCACCCTTGGGACAACTCCATGGAAGGGGGAGAAGGAAGCAGAGAGAGACGGGCTCTGGAGATAGAATGACCCATGGAATTCTCTCAAGCTGGGTTGACATGGATAGGCCCTTGCACCTCTTCATCCATCAGTTACAGGATGTGGGCCACCTGGGAAGGGATGTGACTTTGAATCAGAGGCAACTATTTGCAGCTGAGACGATCCTGGAGGGGCTGACGGCTTATGGTACCAGCTGACAGCACTCTCAGCAGTGGGAGGGCAACAGGGGATGTAGGCGGTGTGGCCGGGTGCTCGCTCAGACCAGGTTAACTCCAGGGAGAGGGAAGTGCTTTCCTTAAAGGTGGGAGTTATCCATATCCTCTCCAGAGAGTACCTCCCTGAACCCAAAGACAAGGCCATCAGTGCCCACAACTGCCTTCATCATTTCCTGGTTGAGTTCTAGAAAACTGCATTTGTAATGTGGCAGTTTGGGAATGTGCTGTCAGCAACCACAGAAGACACACTTTTAAAAAAGTAGAGCGCTGCCTTCCCAACACAGTGGGCAGTAAGTCCCCAGGACTCTCCAGGGGCCAAAGAAACACTGGCTGAAACAGCATCCCACTCAGTTGCCATTCTTTTCTTTCTTTTTCTAAGAGAACTTCCACTACACTCAGGCCTGAAAACACGGTCATATAAAACAAAGGAGATGGCAACAGTCTGCTAGTGCTCTTTGCCGGTTCT